CTACAGTAGGACAGTTTAATTGAGCTTTAAGAGTCCTGGTCTGATCATTATTACAATAAATGAAAAACTAAAGCATTCCATAATTCTGTGCCTTTCTGATATTTGAAATCCACTGTCATAATGACTAGAGTCCCTAAAAATAAAAAATGAATTCCCATTATCTCCTTTTTCAGTATATTCTTTCCAGCATTAAAAGTCCAGGAATTTAATCTGATACTTGAAGCATTTCAATACTACATTAAATAGACATTCTTCTTAAATGTGAGTTTTTTTTATCATATTACAGATCCAATTTTTATTCCTAGTTTTGTGTAAAGTACAAGGTGCATCAACCTAAACAATAAACTATATTTTTTTAGTAACAGGATGATTAAATACTTTTCATACTAAAGTCTAAGATGTGAGCAGTTTAAGCTGATTGCTGTTTTATCTCTCAACATTCAATCAAATAAGTTAAATATTTATATAATAGATTTGCACATAATGAATCTATGGCATTTTTCACTGATTACTTAGTATGTGTAACATTTATATATTCAAGAATATATTTTACCATGTACATTGCCGAGGATATCCTGATCTATTTGCTAGACCCAATGAAAGTTGGCACACTGAATTGATGAGAACTTATAAAATCAGTGCTTCTGTAAGATTATGGGTTCAGTGACTCATTTAGTTGATACACATAGATCTGCTTTGGTTCCAATTATCTCTCAGCTTACTACGACGATGGATCCCAGTACTAGGTCTGCCCATCTAAATAGTATTCATCTGTTACATTTTGTATCTCCATTTTCTTTTGTATTTAAATTATGAGGCCATCTTCATGTGATGCTGATCCAGAGTGGAGTACTCTAGATCAGCACTGCTGAAGTCCATACAGCCATCTGCCAAGCCAGCTCAGGGTCCAGTGGTATCTGCACTATGTGGCAATGAGTCATCCCAGTAGCTGGATGGCATCAACATGGCCCAGCAGCATCAGAACTGGTTTAATGATACTGGACTGCCTTCTTTATCTTCCTCCTGTCATTCTGGGTAACCACTGTACACAAAAGTTATGGTTGTGATAGCTTGCCCTTTGAATGGATTGTAGGAGGAGTGACAAAGCGCTGAGAGAGAGGAAGATGGGGGGAAAGGATGAATCATTCCCTTCCCTGATTGTTTTGTTGCTCTGGTTAGTTTACAGTTTTTTGTCTGATGGTTGCTAAAAGGAGAAGGAAAATGCCATCCACTGCCTCTGGGCTGCCTGAGCCCAGGAGAGCAGTGTGAATCGCTGCAGCCATTTCCAAATAGGAAGCAATCCAACTGTTTACAACAGGCATGGGCAAACTAAGGACCAGAGGCCACATGTGACCCCCCCCCCGAGTGCTTATCTCAGACCCTCTTATTTTTCCTTGTCCTCTTTCAAAAAGATGGGGGAGGAAGGCATGTAGCAGCTAAGAGCCCTCTGGAACACTCTCAACCACTGTGTGTCTCACCCTCCTCCTGGGATAAGGATGGTGTGAGCAGCCCCATTCTTATGCCAGGAGGATGACTCAAGGAAGGCATGCAGCGGCTGAGAGCCCTCCAGAGAACTCTCAGCTGCCGCCTGTCTCAACTTCCTCCCGACAAGAGGACAGCCCAAGAATGGAGAGGAGGATCGTGACAGTTGCCACGTGTTCCGCCTTCCTCCCAGCATAAGGAGGGTGTGAGCAGCCCCGTCCTTATGCTGGGTGTACAGCTTTAGGATGATCCAGGCCCTGCCCTGCCCCCTCCTGGCCCTGCTCTCTCCCAGGCTCTCACCACCCAGCGTGTGCCAGGCCTCCCTCCCGGCCCTTCTGGCTGTGCCTGAAATGCAGCCCTGAGGCAAAAAAGCTTTCCTGTGCCTGGTTTACAACAACAGCCGTCAATGGGTTTTTATTATTTGGAACAAGGCTGTATTAATGGAAATAGACCTTGTGCATCATATGGATTCCATGGAGTCCATTCACCCTCAGACCAGCTCATTTGGCCCCATGTAGATGAGCCCTCAGAGTAGAGTATATCACATCCATAGGCATTCAGACACTTACTACATTTTGTTTTTCTTTAAAATCATTTATGCATCCTGTGCTTTCATTGGATGCCCTTGGGCAATCAAGTCATATTCACCCAATAGAGTAGACCAGTGATTCTCAACTCTTGGTCCTCCAAGAGTTTTGGACTTCAGCTCTCAGTTGTTAAGCTGACTGAAATTTCTGGCAGTTGAATTCCAAAACACCTGGAGGACCAAAGGTTGAGAACCACCAGATTAGACTATTTTCTTCCTATTCCACATAGGGCCAACTAATGAGGATGATGTTTGGAGACTTGCCTAAAGCTAATTATTTTCTTCCCCAGACACCCTTTATGAGAGCAAGTTTGTGAGCCTTTAGAAGTGTTTTGGGACATGTTCGAAGCAAAAACCATTCTTATAGATATACTCCTGGAAGAAGTGGGGAAGTGGTTTGTCCATGTGGAAATGCCTTCTGTACTCCACTGTAGATCATTTCGGGGCATTTTAGAGCCATAAAAATTGAATAAGTTTGCCAAAAATACTTTTAATCCCTGAAGGCCTCAAAATTGGCTCTGTGATTTTCTCCCATAGGTTGTTATTTGCCCCTGGATTGCAGTGTACGCTGTATTTTCCTTGATATCTTTGTTCACCAAGTCTTAAACTGCCAGACCCTCAGTGTGAAAATGATAATTCTGTATGGTTTACTCTTTATCCTGAGAATTGCTTGGCTACATACCTTTTATCTTTGTACACAAAGAACACACCTGAAACTTCTTTCTGTTTTCTAAGAACATAGTATTTAATATTATCTACAGTAGTGTATCATGATTTATAATTAAAAATATTTTCTGCTATGACAATTAATTTAAACATTGTGGGTAGTTACTCATCTTCTGTTTAGCCAATTAAATGATTAAATCATCACATTTAAATAAATATAACAGGAGCTATGAAATAGATTGGCTTCTATGTGTATAAAATGACATTGGATTTATGAAGCAAACGCAAGTTATTAAACAAGTTTTCAGTTTTATAACTTATTAAACCACACAGAAAAAGTAATGCTTATTCTTTTATGTAGTCGTTATAGTCTCTTTATTTAGAAATACCCTTCTTATGGTTATTTCTAGCTTGTTTTTAGGGCAAGTGTTTAGAAGTTGGATAACAGAAAAAATAGTGATATATAATAAAAAATAAAATCATCAACATCAATAAAAATGTTGCAGTGTAAAAATTGTCTACAGGACATTCAAATAGATGGGATGGAAATAATTTTACTAGAGTACAGTCACCATTGAAAATGCCCTTTTCTATGTATCTCTCAACATAGTAACAAGACTGAAAGTAGGGCAGTTTAGGGCAGTTGAGGACAGTCATAGCAACTGGGAAGATTTCTGTGACTGTATGTGGTCCAAAACTATTAAAGACTCTGGTACTAGCAGTCTAAATTCCCCTCAGAAACTGATAATTAATCAAAGAAACTGCTACAGTATTGGGATAATATGATCAAACATGCCTAGAGCTTACACCTCTATACTGTTTTAAAGGCAGTTATTGCATACCTACAAAGCCCAAATTGCTGGTAATTTTCTAGTAACACTTACAAAATTGTGTAAAAAGTATGACCTACATGAATCTTATTATGTTTTAACAAGCATTTGTTATGTTCTTAAGGAAGTATGCATAAAACATACATCAGGGATCAAAGTATTTCCAGCTTTTGGGGGGAAACTATCAATGAATGATGTCAGAATATTGAACATATCGATGTTGTAAGTCAGGAAGCTGAAGCATGAGTGAGACAACCCCAATTAAAAGGACAGACAGGCTGAGATCCTGTATTTGGAGATGTATCGTAATGTTCTGCCCAGGCTGAACTATGTTGATGTATCGCTTCCTACGGGATTCACTTTCCTTTTGTGGGAGTTACTCCATCCACAGCTATTTAATGGCCAATGGAGAGCAGAAAGCATCAGAAAGACTATATTCTTATAGTCAAACTCAGAAGGGTAGTGGCATCCTCTGGAACCTCCAGAGGACCCCCAGGACATATCTAGATGCTTCTCCAAACCCCCTCCTCCACTCTTTCACCAGCCTCTAAATGACCACACATAAGAGGCCCACACAAGATTACTGTGAGTCCTGCACCGGACAATAATTGCAAGAACGAGACAGTGAATTTCTCTCTGTACAACCACCATAAGATATGCAAGTGTAAACTTAATGCCAGCTACAGTCTTTGTTTCCTACTGCATCTCAGCTGTACATCCTTGGGGTCTTCTATGAGTAGAGTAAGATTTTTTTTTTCATTGAATTGTTTATGGAAAAACCTATATAAGTGACCATAAGCATACTTATCGAGCAGTGGATTTCACTGATTTTTTTAGAATTTACCTTTGCATAAAATGCTTATGATCATACTATAGAATTTAATTTAATTTAATTGTAAACTTACCATTATTTTCCCATACTGAGATTACGAATCTTCAAGATGAGAACATGAAGAATCTTCTGCAATTTTTAGTAAAATCTTGGATTTCTGAGCAGATCAAAATAATAAGTCACTCCAAAAGAATGCTTTTTTATTAGAAAATACAGGCTAGAAGCTAAATATTATTTGACACATCTGTATTTTTGTACAGCCCAGGCTTATCTATGGAATTCAACATTGAGTTTTAAATATCCATATTCTGCCTTCTAAAAAGTTCGTATTCATGTTGTTTATTTTGAAAACTTAAAATTCAATAGTCATTCAGAAATATTTGTCCATTTGTAGCTGAACTCCTTTAATGTTTGTATTTAAACTTCTATCTTACATGACATAATCTAGAAAATATTTGCATATCAAAGAATCTGGTTTAGGGATGAAATGAATCCCCCACTCTATCTCAGTGCTGGAACCACCTAAACAGAAAACCTTCTGAGACCCTTACTGTTCCACCATTTCTTTTTTAACAGTGTTTTCTTTTCCCCGCTGCACAACCAGGCTCGGCTCCCTTCGTGCTCATCCACCTATAGTGTTTCTGAGGTATACTTTGCACGTGTTCTGTCAAAGTCAAAATACTCACTCATCACCCTTTTATTTTTTATTTATTTATTTTGGTCTTGCACCATGCAGAAAGCGAGGAAAAATGAGTTTGTGGGATTGACTCTGCATGCTCACCATTGAATAATGTACAGCATGGTTTAGTAGCACCATAGCAGTTTGAAACCACCTAGTGTAATACCAACCAACTATTTATTCCCTAGCACCATAACTTTATTCAGCAATGCCTTTAACAATTTATTTGTAATCAAATTATGTAATGAATACATAGAAACATAAAATGTCGTACAGCTTTAAAACTCTATGTTACCCAGAAGGTCGTTATCTCTGGTGACAGGAAAACCATTCAGAAATTGATAGTGTACAAAGATTAATAATTATATTTTTAATGTATGAATTGCTTTGAGGATATATATCTTTAAAGCTAAATCCCTTGTTCACTGTAATGTAGCCTTGCTAGGTCACATTTCCCAGATAAACCTTTTATTTAGTATCTATCTGTCCCTTTAAGAAAGGATTGAAAAAGGCCTTAGGTATAATATCTGTTCTATGCAGAACTGGACTAAGAAATTGGTCATGCATGCTTGCTATTGAAGCACCATCTGCACATAATAGCTATGGTATACATGCTCTACCACCACCCACCCTGTACGTGCAGAGGCATTTTGTATGCAGCTTTGTGAACAAGAGAAACTACCCATTGTGTTCAGGTCTCTCTTTCTACCCATGCTAGATGTGTTGCTGCCAACATATTGTAATGCACCTAGCCACATCCTAATTAATGTCGCAGTTATTTGCCAATCTATTTAGTACCTATAACCACAATTGCTTATTTTCTAAAAGTAGGCTTCACACAAAAGGTCTGGAGAGGACTACTGGATAACTGTACTAGAAATGGCCATATTTGTTGCAATGTAACCAACAGTGTCAGCAGGCCTAGCTGTTGTCTATTGTGGTGACAGGTAGACTTATTCAAATAACACATTCAGGTATCTATGAAGTTAGAAGTGCCTGGTGTATATGCAAAGAGACTGGTCAGGCTAGTTATTATTATAAACACTTGCTAAGTGTTAGCAATAGATGTAAATATATTAGTGGGAGAAAATAGGCTGCAGTTTGAGATGCTAGCAAAATCTGACCTTCTAGTTCAGATACTATTAACTCTAATGTTTGTGCCAACGGCTGTGTTTTTTCCCCATTTCAAGAAAGATGTGTAAATAGTGATTTTGGTCCCTGAAGCTTAAAGCAGCATTTAGTGCCTGGCAAATGATGTTACACTTCCATCATTCCTTAACATGCTTACAAACAGAGGAACAATGTTGACCCAGCACTGGTACACCAATGATGCTATGGCATCTCATTGAATGTCCATAACAAACTGCTGCAGTGCTGTGCATGAGGAAAGTACCAGCATGTCTATCCTGTTCTAGTTCTGAAATGTGCAGCCAGGTCCCAGCACTGATATGGGAGGTCCCATCGCTCTTTCCCCCAAACGCTAAAACATGCCTGATATGTACGGTATCCAAAATTTCCTAGAGGAAGACATTTTACTAATGATTTTCTGAACATTGATAACATATTATGGATTTCTTTATCTAAATAATGCATGCAATGTTCACAGTATTCAATACATGTAGTATTCGGATAATCTATTGTTGCCATTGTTTATAAATTATAATAATCCAAAGGGCAGTTTGAGAACTTAATCAGAGGAGATTTTAACTCCCCCCCCCCCCCAATCGTACACACAGCATCAAGCTTCCTTTCTTTTTCTTTTTTAAGAAGCCACAGATTTGTTGTCAACTATTGTCATCCCAGCCAATTCAAAATTAAAAGTAATACTTGATGAGCTAATTTCATTTCTTGTGGGGAAGGCTGTTTTGTTATGAGAACTAATAGGGCCATCCAATGCTTTTTGCAAACCTCATGTTTCCAAGGCAGTTCTTACATCCTTAAGGTACATCCTTAAGCTTTTCATTCAAATGCCTTTTTTCCTGCTTTGGTGCATCTTCCCCAGTCAAAATAAAACATACTATGAAGGGCTGAAATTCTATGAGTGTGTATCCATTCATGTGTGAACACACAGATATACACATAATTTCAAAGAGTTGAACAAAGTACAGCCTACAAGTTTTTGGATTTTATGGAAAAATACTGAATTTTTTTCCCGTGTCCTTTGTTGGCTGTCAAAGGATAATTTTGTCACACGACAGGGCCAACTGTTTTAGGGTAAGAAGGGACCTTTTCCCAAACCAAATATCTGGGGTTAAACGAGATCACGTGGTTTAAAATCACACACACACACACCTGGAGTCTAGAAAATGGGGGGGGGGGGGTGTCAGCAAAAATTGTTTGCTTTTTTAATTTAAAAAAACACGTTCCTCAGAAATACAAAAAGTTACAAACAATTTGGGATGTTGGAGCCAATTGTGGCAGTGCCCTGCGCTGCTCCCCAGTTTGACTTAATTTCCCATCTGTGTTAGATAAAGTAGAAAATTTATTCTTGACCAGCAGTTCACAACGGTTGGAGCTAGAAGGTGACATCCTTGTCATGCCACCAACAGGGAAGGGTGGACTTTTTTGCCTCCAAATACCCTCCAATTCCTAGACCCATTGAAACATTTCCACTGTATTTCAGCCTTTTTTTGGAGCAGGAGAGACTAAGTGTACACATGTAGTTTAGAATTAATGCAGTTTGACATCATTTTAACTGCCATGACTCAATACTATGGAATCATGAAGGTTATAGTTTTACAAGTTTTTAACCTTCTGTGTCAATGAGTGTTGGTGCCTCACCAACAACAAATCCCATAGTTTCAAAGCTTTGAGCCATGGCATTTAAAAAGGTGTCAAACTGCATTAGTTCTACCTTGTAATTGAATCCTGAGAGGGAAAAAATATCTCCCCCAGACCTAAAATGGGACACAACTTCCCAATATGTGACTAATGGGCCTCCCATTCATAATTGAAGGCTTATTGGGGGGGGGGGGCTTACAGAGACCACAAAAATTATCTGTGATCATTTCTGCTCTTTAAGACACCCTTTCCCCACCTTTGTTCTTGACTCTCAGGCTTCTTCTACACTGCCATGTAATCCAGATTATCAAAGCAAATAATCCACAATATCTGCTTTGAACTGGATTATATGAGTCTACGCTGCGATATAATCAAGTTCAAAGCAGATAATCTGGATTTTATATGGCAGTGTAGAAGGGGCCTCAATGACAGATCCTAGGATCTTCTAAGATCTCTGTAACAAATACTGCCAATTTTTGCCTTATTTCATGTGCATTAGCAAATACAGGAAGTCTCATGAATACTACAAATGGAATATGAACAGGGAAAAATCACACAAGACATGCCTCAAGTAAATAAAGAGAATCTGACTAGCACCACAAGAACAATGTGCAAATACAAGGGGTATTAATGCAGATATTCAGCAGAACTTTAAACTATCCAAAATACTAGCTGTATATATCCAACATAAAATCTTTTCTGCATGAATGCTAATAATCTCATTAATCACAATACCAAAATCCACCTTGTTATGTTTCACATCTCAAGAGCTAGCATTGTCTTCAAGATAACAATAAAGCAATGTGAAGCCAGTAACATATTTGAAATGTGAAACTCTTTATATTATTTCCTGAAAATGAATGCTGAAGAAGAAAAAGAAATATTCCAAAAAGCACAAATGAGATTTTTTTCCTTTGAACTAGAATAGAAAGCCAATGAATTTTTGTTGCTCCTTTGCATACATTCATTAATTTGCAAACTCATGCAAATACTTGAAGTATACCTTGCTTTCTACAGACATTTGGTGATGCATATGTTCTTTCTTTGGGTTTTTTTCAGTTGAACACTATTTAAGGTTGTCAAAAAACTTATTTTAATTGAAATAAACCCCTATTGGACATTCTCTTTCTTTTTACATTTTAAAGAATCACTTCTACATGTCTTTCTTTAATTCTGATAAATAAACATTGAGATCTTTTGAATTGTCCAACCTATATATTATGCATTGTAAATGTTTGATGCTTGTAAAGCATATTGAAAGATGAGTTCAAGGAAAATAAGCACAAAGCTCTGTCCAGAAGCTTTTATGATATTTTGTAGCTTTTTTATAGCTTTTATGATATTTTATACAGGTACTAATACTTTCATAATTAGTCAGTTTAATGTACTTAGTTGAGAATCTCTGCACAGATTTTCTATATAAATTCCTTCAAAGAGACATGAAGCTATTAGATGAAAGGGAACAGCAGTCTCTAATGCATGGATTCCTAGTGGTGGTGTTTAAGAGGAATTTACTTTGCAGTGCATCTATAAAATAGTAGTCTGTCTTTGGAAAATGCTAGCACTAATAGACATTTGTCCTTGGAAAATCAGGATTGCAGGAGGAAAATAGGAAAGTGAGAAAAATTGCAAGATTCATAGTTCTGGAAAGTATCCCAAACCTTGAACTAATACTGAATGGCTGTAATCAAATTGCATAGTAGTTGGAATGATCAATAATTTTTGAAATCTCTTTTAATCATACTCTTACTTACTCTTTTCAAGATTTCTAGGCTTTATAAATTATTTGTATTAGACAAAGTAGAATTTATTTGCAATAAGGTGGCAATAAAATCATAGAACAATAAAGTTTGGTTCTTGAGTTGATATTTCCTAGTATTCAGGGAACTCTCAGGCATCACGAGATTCAAAATCTCCTACAGTCATTTAAAAATGATCTATATTATCTTTATGTTTATTGTGATAGTAGAAGGTTATATTCTAACAATATAATCACCCGTGATCAACATTGTCTTATGTTTAAGAAGGTAAAGTTCCTCTGGTCATAGAAACCTCAACTCATTATGACTTTTTAAATGACACCACCTCCATCTACTGCAAGATATTTCTAGAATTGATATGTAATTGGATAGGCCAAAGGATGCTTGTATATGAAACATGGCATAGATTTGTTTTCACTAGTCATG